TTAGATATAGATTGGATGTATATCATATATCAAATCTATATCTGATATCAGATATAGATATACATCAAATATAGATCAGATATTATAAGGGTAAAATTGGAATAATAAAAATTTCGAAAATAAAAATTCAAATATTTTGTTATATTTGAAATTTTGAAAAGTTGATGACATTTTTTGAAATACATAAAATAATTTTTGCTACCTACTATAATTACCCTTTTAAATATGCAATTTCAAAAAATGGCCAAACAACTTTCAATTTTGAAGAATGGCTAAGCTAAGAAGATCTCTACTCATTTTTTAAGTACAAAATTTCCCCTCATGATTTTAAAATAAATATATTATTTTCCCTCTTTTATAGGAGAATCATACTTATATTTTTTCAAATTCAAATATTGTACCAACAGTAGAGTTATACTAACAAATTTAAGGAATAAATATTAACTAAACTAAAATCTAAAACAAAAATGTAAGAAATTCATAACTGAAAATTATACTAAAAATGTAAAATTTTAACAATAAAATCATTATTGAAAATGATACGGTGCAAATACAGCGGTGGTGAGCACATGAACAAATACGACGGCGAGCACATGAACAAATACGGTGAGTACATGAACAAATATGGTGAGCACACATGAACAAATACCATGAACACACATGAACAAATACGGTGAACATATGAACAAATACGGTGAACAAATAATATGAACAACAAATAAGATATGTTTTTAATACACTTTACCTCAGCATATATGCCTCTCTCCTCTACCCTTTGCCACGTGCCGCCCTACTTTCAACCAACTCTATCGCTGTGCTGGTTGCCCCATCGTTGTGCCACCCCACTTTCAACCAACTCTATCACTGCATCGCCCGCCCCACTGTTGTTCCTCACTTGATTTCGTCAACTAACAAGATCTATCTTCCTCAATTGATTTTCTCTTCCCCTCGTCAACTAGGCTCCCATTGTTTCCCTCTCATTTATCAAGCTTTTCTCGAGATTTCAGCAACAGAACGGGAAGTGGTTTAGGAAAGGACTTTCGAATCGGATGCGCTCGCCCAGCGAGAAAGGCCCTGACCCTGCCAACCAAGTCCAAATCAAAAAGAAAGAAGAGAACGAAAGGAGAAGAGAACTTCGTATTTTGGTAATTCTCTAGGAGTCATGTTTAACCTTGAATGCTATTAATAAATTCTACAGCAATAGTCCCTCCTCGGACTCGGAAAGTAATAACGAAAATGGCTATGATCGTGCGTGTTGTCTCCTTATTTTTTGTAAATTCTTTATCTATATAAGTAATTTTATAGTAATAGTGGTTGGAAAAAAAGAAAACTAGAATAAAAAAGATATGGAATCTAGGAGAGTTCAGGTAAGTTGAGATTTTTTTTTGCTTTTAAAGATAATGACCAAATAAGACGGGTAAACGGGTAAAAAAACAAATATGCAAAAGAGTTAGAAAATTAGAAATAGATATTTTTTATTATAAAACGCCATTTTTCAAAATTAGGTGACAACCATAGACACCCACCATAAATTCTTAGAAAACAAAGTACATGTCTCCTCTGCAATTATGGAGTCAATTAATGAAATATTATATCATATATTATTGAAATTAAATTAGTGTTTAGTSTCGTGGTCATCTCCCCCCTTAAATTGTACTCCTTCCTTCGTGTCTTAGTAAAGGTGTATAATATATCAAAGAAATAGAACCGATCGAACCGGTATCGGTTGATCGATTTTAAAACTACGTTGGTCGGTTGTCGATTTTTCTTGATCGATCGGTCGGTCCATGAAAAGAAAAGAGTAAAACCAACCAACCGATCCACATTCTTATATAAATAAAAAAAAAACAAATAGTTAATTAAATGGTCGTTTAGTAGTTGGTACTGGTAGAAATCAACCACACGTGCAGAGGCGCCTGAGAAGATGTGTTTTGAGTGTTTGTTATTATTTTCTTATTTTTGAATATTTCAACTTATCTCTCTCCCATGAAGCCATGGCAGACAACAAAGGCTCATCGATTCACTTGAATTAATTGATTTTTGTTATATTTATTTCTTTTATTTTAAAATTTCATTTTTGTTTTTTTTTTTCTTTCTTTCATTCCCACAGTTGTCTCTCTTTAAATTAGGCTCGTCCCTTTCTACTAAAATCGAGTTCACTCCCGCACCCGCTACTGCCATAAAAATTATTTGAAAAATTAGTCGGTTTGTTAGAAACCGATTGAAAGCCAGCGAAGTGGGTCGGTCGATTTTCATTTCTAGAAACCGACCGTGAATCGATTGGCATAGATTTGGACCCAAAAATTGATCTGATGGATCCATATATACCACCTCTACCATTGGGATCAAATCTCAGCTTAACCATTTTTATTTTTTATTTTTTTAAACATACTTGCGCCACGGACCACTATATATTTTTCGTTCCATATCTTCACTATTTTTTTTATTGGTCGTCCTCCATATTTAAACATTGTTTTTTATTCTTTAAAATTTTAATAATGACACTTTAGTGGATAAGAATTAGGAAAATATATATTTAAAAGACACTTTTTATTTCTTGAGATTTAGAAAATATTTAAATTTTGTTCTTTAATTTTAGAAAATATTTTAGTCTATTTTAGTTTTTTTTTAATATTTTTGTTAAAAATGAAATATGATTTTTCATTTAAAATAGGTAATTTTAACTTTTATATTTAATTAAGAAATTTTAACAAACTATGTCTGATTAAGTTCATATTGTAGATTGTATTTCTTTTAATAAATTTAAATTCATAATCCTGTCATAATTTTTATATCTCCCATTCAATTTCTTGTAGTTCCAAAAAAAAAAAATCCACAAAATTTACTAATTTAATAAAAGTTAAGTTTCTCAAATTATGTTTGATTAACTACAAATCCATCGTTAAATAATTCTGCCAAAACTTGTAAATTTAAGCAAAAATAAAATAAAAAACTTCTACTGTCATTCCTGTCTAAATTCTATCAATTTCATACCAAAACATAGGGTTTTTTTTACTCATTTGATACCTATGAGAAAATTTTTATCAAATGAATAGTAAACTTTGCAACATCTTTTAAGTTTAAGGTGAATTATAAGATTTATCCATTCAAGGGTAAGGTTTAACTTTGTACACGTTATCAAGTTCAGGTTTAAAATTGATATTGTTTCATTATCCTTACATGTATTTGTTCTTCTAACGTAAAGTTCTGTATCCGTCATTGCCAGTGCCCTATCTTTCGAAGCTAGTACCCCACCTATATTCACAATAAATCTGGCCTTCAATGATGGTTACAAAAATATATAAAAAATTTAAAGAAAAACATGAAAGAAACAATGACGGACATAGAAAAAACGCACCAAAACTAAACTATATATAGTTTTCAATGACGATCAAAGACAAGCATTGTTTGTTAGATTTAATTTGATGATTGACCAGCATTAAAATTGGCTCTTAATTTCTTTAACCTTAATTTTAATTTAAACCCATAACCTTCCCAAGAAATAGTAAGCAAACTCCAGCGTCAACGAACTCTAGCAAACCCACGATGTTCGACAGACCCTCTTCGAACGGCAACTTCCTAGTTGTGATTTTGTTGGTTTTTTTTATCTTTAATCTCAAATTAATTAATTAATTAATATTTCAATGATAACAAATCTGATCTAATTTATTGAAATATTAGTATTTGAAAGCATTTAGATCGTACGACTCAAAATAACGATCTTAATGCATCTAAAATCACTTAAATCGAAGCATGAAGAAGTTACAATGAAACAAATTCAAAAGGGCACTAAAAAAAAAAAGACCAACACCTTCACGCGCACGCGCGCTTGTGCCCCCCACGTGCCTGCGCGGCTTCAGTTTCTCCGCGAAAGTCGGTATTTCCTCACTTGCGCGCATGGGTTTACTTTTGTGCCTTTTGGGAATTTTTTTTTACCAATTTTCTTTTCCGTTTTTGTCCTTTCCCCAAGTTTTGATCTCCACCTTTGATATTAACCCATTGTTGTTCAAAATTTGGGCAATCCTCTCTCAATTTTCTTGAAAACTTCCCCCAAAATCTCAATTGTTCATTCCCTCTAGCAGCTTCAATTTTTTGTTTTAGTTTCATTAGAGAGAAATCTTATTTTGAGAGATCTTCACCTTTTTATTTTTATTTCTTCCCACCACTTGAGAACTTTTATTCATAGGAATTTTTCTTGCAATTATGAGAGCTTGTATTTGTTCATCCACTCTTTAAAAAGGTTTGTGAGATTTGTGCTCTAATTTTCAATTCTTTGTAAGTATTTGCTCTAGAGCCAAAAATTAGAAACAAATGTAATAGCTTATTTATTAATCAATACCATACAAAGAAACACCTGATGAGAAATGATGGCACTCATAATATTTTTTTCACATTCCCTACCCACATAATATGCAAGCTAATATTTTGGCCAAGTTAACGAGACTATTGAATATTTTCGTTGTACTTTTAATTATTTATTTGATGCGAAGAACATTTCTAAGACTATAAATCAACAAAATGCTTGTAGCTCGAAGAAAGAAAATTTTATCGAACTTTGAAATTTCAGATCTCTATTTATGGTCGAACAGGAACTCAACAGAAAAAAATATTATATTGATTGTTAGAATTGTTCTCAACAAAATTTCTTTTAATGTAGGAACGATAGAATATCGAACCTCCCACCATGGTAAAAGAACTAAGAGGCATGTTTTAACTACTGAGCTAATCCATTATACCCAACCATTTTCATTATAAACAAATTGGACTCTTAAATTCCTATGCGAGAAAGGATCTTTCCATGAAGGCAAAAAAATGTTTGAGGCCTAAATTTTGAGAGAAATATGATTTTGGTACCAGGAAAAATAATATCCTTTTTCTCTCTTTAATTACCTCCATGCTCTGATCTCTTATAAAATTCTGAGAAAATATCATTTTGGTCCCTAAATTTTAAGTTCAATTTTTATTTGGTCTAAAATTTTAAAATCTTACACTTTTTGTCTTTAAAGTTTCAATAATTCTTCATTTTGGTCTGAGAAATGAACATAAACATAACTATCAGTAAACTGACCAAAATAGTATAATTGAAAAATCTAAAAATTCAAAAAACAAAAGGGATAGGGAGACAAGTTTATGTGGTCTTAAACAACCCAAAGGGAGGAAGAGTTCCAAGATACCTGGAGACCCAGACTCCAAATCTAACCCAAACGGTCTAACCCACGGGGCGAACCTCAACCGAAAACTCCTCGAACTAGTAGTAGTGTAGTATCCTAATGGGAGTAGTTAATTATGGTATAATATTTTGAGAAGTGAGGCTTTAATACCTTCTTCTGTGGTTTCTACTTGTGGAGGAAGCCCAATGACCAGATCTTGCAATGTGATATCATTTGAGTTGCACATGGTGGCATGGTGGACCTTCAACTCCAAGTCTCTAAGGGCCTCCATTAGCCTAGCCACTGCATAGCTCATATTCTTTGTCTGAATTCTCACCACTGCCCGATCCAATCCTATAATCTTCACTTCAACTTCCACTTCCATCACACTCTTTTTTGCTCCCGATGTCGCTTCGTCCTCTGGATTGGATTTCTTGACGTCTAGATGAGACTCCAAGTCCTCCATCTTGACTTGGAGCTCGTTGATGTATGAAACAGCGTCAGACAGAACAGCCGCTTCGCTATTGTCGCTATTCGAAGCATTGGGGAGTAGCGAGCGGAGGGAGGAGAAGTGGTGGTTGAGCTTCTCCCGCCGCCGCTTTGCCTCGGCATGATCATTCCCAGCTCCTTTGTTCATCCCTTCTTTCTCCAGTTTGGAAGAGGAAAATTGAGAGGTTTAATTTGGAGGTACTCTCCACGGCTTTGTCCAACAAAACCTGATTAAGAGTTGTGCGATCGATTACATGTGGATAAGAGACATTTTCACATCCACCCTCATTTTAAACGTGCTACTCAATATTGTGTCCTTCAGAATGTTTTCTTAATTTTGTTTGGAGTTTACCATTTTCTAGAGTTTTAGATTTTATTTTCGATGGAAAAATATTATTTTCTCATGTGTGAGAGGATTAATATTGTCCTCACTACAATTAAATATTGAGAGAAATATAAAAATAGAAACTTTTTGAAATAAAATACTTGTCTCTATACTGATGAGTGTTGGAAAATTTAAACAAATCCTAATTCATGATTATTCTAAAATAAAAGTCATAAAATTACACAACAATAAGTCTAAGGATCTAAGCATGGAAGAAAACCAAAATCTATAAAGAGACTAGAATTACCTTGAACAATTAGATAGATTGACCATGATCTGCAAGAAGTTGTGTGTTTGTGGTCTTCCTCAACTATACAATCCAGACCAAATATGGGCAATACTCCCTGTTTGATGGGGAACAGGAGCTCAAAAAGCATAGTGTATTGGGACTATAACCATATATTTATAGGTTAATCCTACGGTTTCCCATAACCCCTAAGATTAATGGGTTGGTTTCTACTCAGCAAGCCACACCACTAAATGAGAATTCATGCGCCCATAATCAAGCCATTAAATAGCCCAAATATAATTGCTCTTTAATTTGTTACCCACATATGAATTAATTATTAAATTAATTCTAACAATGAGAACTAATCTTGTGTTAGAAACCATTAAATGTTTGACAATATTTGATCCGGTATGGAGGAGTATTTTACTTTTTAAAAAAATAATGAGTTGTCAATTTTTTAATAGTAGCGAGTTCTAGTCCACAACGATAAAAAGCTAAGTATTTTTATTTTTCATGATTCTAAATGGGTCATTTTTGGGTCATTCTCTTTTTTTTTTTGGGTTGGGAAAGTGTCATTGTAATGGAATTAATCAACTTAGAGACTAAGGATAAAAGGGTAATGTTTTCATTCATACTTTCTGTGTATTTCAATGTATTGCATTTATAACCAACCACTAGGGTTCTTGGGAAAATAAATGCTAAACAATAATAACATTAACTGTTTGATGGATAATTCTAGAACTGCTGAGTTGTTCTTTTGAGCTGGACTATCGAGGTGGAGTCCTTTGACCACGTTGACTGCCTTTCCTTAAAATACTCCCTTCAACGAGAGGGGAGTTCAACAACCACCGAGTTTGGATCGCAGGTAGTAGAATTGAGAATGTCTAAGCGATTTTGTAAGACAATCAACCAACTGATCAGTTGAAGGAATGTAGCGGACAATAAGAATGCCTCAAAGCACCTGATCTCGAACAAAGTGTACATCAATTTCGATGTGCTTGGTACGAGCGTGAAACCCATCACTAATATTATCACACCAAAGGATCATAGTCGAATGAATTGGAATTCCAAGTTCACACCAGAGTTGTCGAAGTCAGATAATCTCAGTGGAAGCATGAACAAGGATGCCATGATCTTCAAACTCCGTACTAGAACGAATAAGGGTCTGGCTTCTTAGATGACCATGAAACAAGCGTATTTCTAAGAAACACGCAATAAGCGACAACTGACTTTCTATCATCAACATTTGAGGCCCAATTAACATCCGAAAGGCAGTGATGGAGAAATCATCACTTGGACAAATCAGAAGCCCCATAAATTTAATAGCACTAAGAAGGAGGCGTTTGGAACCAACTCCATACTATCTTTAACATAATTTGACCCAAATAAAAACAAATTTATTAAACCCCGAAATAAAACATCAAATATCTACTAAAAGTAGTGCCACAAGGATTATAACCATTTTCTTAAATAAAAAAAAAATCCACCAAGTCAACTCTACTGTTATACGTAGGGGTGTTCACAGGTTAGGTTGGGTCGGATTAGGAGGGGTTCTGAGACCAATCCAAATTTTTGGGTCGATCTATAAGAATCATCGGGTTTGAATTGGATGGCCAACCCAACCCAGTATTTTCGGGTTGGGTTATCGAGTTACTTTTTTTTTTAATTTTTAATTTTTAATTATCATGGTTACGATGGGGAGCTAGGATTAAAACTAAATGGACAACAGATTAAGATATAAAATGGAAGGCGATGATATGAAAGCCTTAAATGGAGGACTAGGATTAAAACTAAAGAGAGAGCTAACATTGAAGATAAAGATATTATTATATATTTATAATTAACAAAAAAAATATACATATATACATAAATTCGGGTTAGGTCAGGTTGACCCGATTTTTTTAAAGTTAAACCCAAGACCAAATGAGTTGGGAAAATCACAATCTAACTCAACCTCATTAACTCAACCTCATGCTTCATCTAACCCAACCTAACCCTTCCTAACCCTTATGGTTTGGGTTGAGTTCGTTAAATTTGTTGGATTGTCGGGTTATTTGAACACCTCTAATTGTGCGCATTTCACCATCTTTTCCAACATAACTAGTATTAGAAATTCATATTTCAACTTCTTTTCAAAACCAGATATCCTAAATGCACTTACCAAATTAAGAACTTGTTTTCATATTTGTCCTCAACATTGAATGTCGTACATTCAAAGGCAAGATTTTATCCCCTAATTTTGGAATAACTATCATAATATTCGTCAATCTGAAAACCAAGATTTTATGAAAACAGAGTTTACAAATCAACATCAAAACATTCCTCAATCCTCAATACCTAGGTTATTCACAAAAGTACTCATCCACACTGCAAGATTTGCAACAAGAGGAGAAAACACAGTATGCAGGAGATAATGTTAATGTATAACCAAATACATTTGAAATAACCAGTTTTCGCTCCATCTCAGATTAATTAAACCTCATCAGCAACCGTTTGATCCCCTCGAAATCCACTGAATAAATTAAAACGCACCCCATAGATCATGATATTCAAGAGAACTCTAAATACCCTACTTTACATTACTGGCAAACTATCATAGGTTTGCCTCCAATTTAGTAAATGATTATATAATGTCAATGAATCACATAGTCGCATAACATTTCAGAAATTTCCTTCACATCTTCTCTATGATGGTTAGAAATATATTAAGGAAATGATATTTATGAAATAATAGACAGACATTTAATTTAATTAATCAACAAAATAGAGAGATAAGAAAACCTATGAATTATAGATTGAGACACGTTCTAAGATGTGCCCCATTATACTCAGTTATTTGGCACTTGGTCGGAACATATAACAATCCTTCAAGAAGTCTTGTGTAGCAGTTAAGTTCTTGTACGAATCCCCGACTACTGCTTGTATGCTCAAAATCATAAAACTCAAAACCAAAACAACTCTATTGGAAATACTGTATATCCTCCACTTACACTGTGAGATGATGTTCATTTATAAGGGAGCACTTCCTTTATTAAGGAGTCTACCTTTAACAAGTTCGAGCTACTCCTTCCAAATAGAGGAGTAAAGCAAAATTATATAATAAAACTAAAATCTTTACAATTTGTTACTTGGATTGTTCACAAATTGATTTTGTGCGCGAGAATGTTCTCTGGAAAGGCATCAACCGGTTCAACAGCTCGCATATTACAAATTACAAACCTTTCACTGTAAAATGCAGCCATTTTTCTTAGGTTTTCTTAAGTCTTTCATTTTCTCTTCATCATTTTCCCAAGCTCTAATTAAATTCCAGCTTGTTCACTACCGTAAACCAAATTCAGTTCTAATGAAAATGCTTTCTATCGAGAATTCAATCCTTGTTATTTTCTTTTCCATTTCTACGATGAGCTAAATTTATGTACCATCCTTCTACGAATGTAATAGCATATTTATTAATTTGTACTGCATACAAGGAAACACTTGTCTTAAAAACAGATAGACTAGAAAAGATGACACATATAATGTTTTTTTTAACATTTTCTGCACAAGAAATGATATTTTGGCCCAGAGTTAATACTTCTATTTTCTCATGGTACTTTTAATTGTTTGTTTGATGTGAAGAAATTTCTTAGACTAAAAATCAACAAAATTCTTGTAGCTTGACGAAATAAAATTTTGTCAAACCTCGAAATTTCAGTTTCTACTGATGGTTGAACAAAACTTACCAAAAAAGAATATTGATTGTTAGAATTGTACCAACAATTTTTTTAGTACAACAAAGTTAGGAATAAGAGAAGAACCTCCGACTTCTATGAAACAACTAAGATGCATGCATTTAACTGTTGAGCTAGTCCTTTATTATAAACAAATTGGACTCTTAAATTGGCATGCGAAAAAGCGTCTTTCTATCAAGGTAAAAATTGTTTGATGTGTAAATTTGGGAGAAATATCATTTTGGTACGTGGAAAAATAATATCYTTTTTCTCTCTCTACCACACTCGTCTAATATCTCTTATCAGCAATCTCACCTAAAGGCCTGAATAAGTCAGGTCAAGGGTGGAACTCTTCTTCGGAGAGAGAAGTTGCTCGCCCAAGCTAAAAAGTAAAGCTCTCTAGATTTCCACTATCTACAGAGATAGAATAGATCTTTTCATGGATACCCTTGGATACATTCATCACATTGATTCTTAGTTTTTGGGCTAAAAAAGTTCGTCGATTCTTGCTATTTTTCTCAAATGTAGGTTCTATGAGGCTCACTCAGAAGCAGATGTTCTGTCGAGAGTTTGGATTGCTCCACCTAAGTCGAACGAAAAATTGTAGAGAAAATATATATCATTTTCGTTTTGGTCCCATAAATAAACATAACTATTAGTAATCCTAATGAAAATAGTACAATTGAAAAATGTTAAAATGCAACCAGCTAAATTGGACAAAACTGAGGTTATTGATTTATTTATAAAATTGAAACTTATACAATTTTATCCATTGCATAAAAGAGGCACAAGTTTATCAGTCGCCAGATGGCTAAAAAGAGTGA